AGCTTACTGGTTTGTTTTTATAAAAAACTGTCATGTCAGATGCTAAAACAATTCACATCAGAAATATACTTCTATGGAGCAAAAGTTCTCAAGAACAAATACTTTGTCGCAATGAGACTGTTTTCAATGTACATTAGCAAAAGGAACACACTCACACAAAACCCTAAATGAAATGTGCCTGGAGAGGAGATGAAGCCTCGATAAAATGAGGAAATAACTGAGCCAGACCAGAGAGACTGAGAAAGGATACAAGAGGAATGTGATCCTGAATTTTTAAACAGTGATAAGAAAAGAGCTTGATCTTACTATTATACTATTTTGTTACAGTTAATTTTTTTCAGATTAAATTATACTATCTTCAAGATCAAACACTATTTTGGCAGGTGTCTGGCTTACAGTTTTGAATATAATTTCAAGTTTTTACAGTACCGATGCAGAAATTTAAGTGTAGACTGGAACCATGTCTGTCCATACCTCTGAGAGCAACACCACATTTCCAGTGCTCTTCCCATTTTGTCATCTATTCCACATAACAGCCAGCAATTCCAAGCTGAAGCTACTATTTTCTATACCTAAACCCTCACACAAAAATGAACTTTAAAAAAATTGACAATACGTTTCTGAGGACCACATCCACATACGCAGAGTGTAACAAGAAAACCTCCATGTTAAAATAGTATAATCATTCTTTTCTTCTCACTTTAAGTAACATGATGGAGGAACTGCACCACAGAAAAAAATCTGCATTTTTATTTTAGCTCTATCAACAATGTTTATACTAAAGGCAAGGATATATTACAGGTAGAGAAATATTTGTTCCAGTATAAACCCATATGTATTTGGCCACTAAACCGTTTACAAAGTTCCTCAAGTCACTATCCCACAGAAATTAAAAGAAACTTGTACTCAAAACAAAAGCAAGACACAAAAGAAAAAAGATGAAACAGTCAATTTCCTAAATCCCAGAACAACTCAGAAAAAACCTAGCCAAATTCTGCTCTCAGCTCCACAGACATGAACCAGCAGTAATTTCACCTACTGGATTTATTCATATCTACCACTGCAAAATTTCACCTAGTTCGTCCAGTAATGTGCCTTATACTAGAAATCTTGGGGGGGAGGACCAAACAAACAAAAAAACCCAACCAACCAACCAATCAAAACCAAAAATGAGCACAGTAAGAGATAACCACTAGACAAAAAAGAACAAAACTGGCTATTTGAGAAAAATTACTAAACCAGATGCAAATTATTCACACAAGTAAGGATATGCACAATCAGGCCCATGCTAATTGAGCACAATAAACATATTGTCACTCATTAAAGATCTATCTGCCTGTATTTATCTTTGCTTTCTCTTCAGTTCTTACGAGTTATTCAATCACTTCCCATCACACAGGAAAGGAAATATTGCACTATGAAGACAGAGCTATAATTAGATATTCCTGTATTTCATTTCCCATATATGACTGAATGAGAATGGATGGGAAAAATACGACCAGCGATAATAATATTATGTTGAAACATTCAGTAAGAAATATACTGGGCATAGAATAACGTCTCAATTCTTCCTCAGCACATAATGCTGTGTTTACTGCAAGGTCAGTTAAGTTACTATAAGAGATTTTTAATGAAAACAATTATAAATTTAAAATAACTGTGTTTAAAGCATTTAACAGTCACTAAGGTCAAGTGATTACAGCAGTTACAAGACCCAAGGGACATGTTCACACCAAAACAAAAGTGAATAAATTACCTCAGCCAGGGTATGTAATCACTAAGTGACCACAGAGGTTTTTCAATGTATGAGTCCAGATGACTTTCATGCAAAACCAATAATGAAAATTTATCAGCCAAAGGGATAAAAGCATAAGAATCAGTGAAAGTTGCAGGAAGGGCTGAGAGCTAGAAAGAGGGCGTGGAAAGCATGTTCCGTGATTTGGCTGCAGAGATGAGGAAGAAGGATAAATGTTAATGAAATGGATGGACAAGATGCTGAACATTTTGCTCAGGTGAGACACCCAAATTGCAAGACCCACAAAATACAAAATTGCAGGGTTGACAGAGGTGCTTTCAGTCCTGTTTAACTCTGGTATATGTAACATCCAGTGAAGTACCAGCAAGGCAGGGGTTCAGAATAATCATCTTTTTACTTTTCCCTTGGCTTTACTGCCAAGAAAATTACAGATAGTTATTATGGTTTAGTTATCCCATTATATAACCCTAGTGGAGATGAGGTCCTGTTGTTTTACCACAGAGTAGGTAAAATAAGCTGTAGAATGAAGCCCAGCTTTGATCTCGCTTCTCTCCCTCAAGGTATAAACGATACAAATGCCTTGTCTTCATTACTGCTTGACGACACGATTGCCAGTGGAGAAAACCATGCAGAAAAAAAGGTATGCAAACCCCTTTCTATAAGGACAATGTTGTATTTGATGGGAGTTCTCAGTGCCTTGCTATGGAACAAGGTTCCTACCAACTATGATGAAAAAAGATGCCTCCCACTATATGGCAACAGCAGAAGGAATCCTGCTTGTTCCTGTCTGCCACTGGAATGTGTTTTTTAACTATTACATCGCATCACCTCACAACCTTGAGGGTCTTAATCTTCACAATATACACAGTAACTAGTAAAATGCGATTACCCCCATTTTGCAGATAGGATCCTGAAATAACGTGGCAAAAGGGCATGCCTGACTTCATAGTGTTTTGATTCCAGATGAGGAGAGGACAGCACTGGAGCAAGTATTTACCAATGCGACAAGATTCCATGTGGGAATGAATTTGCTGCCTCACCTTACTCCAGAAACCTAGTAACTGGTATTGAACTGGTATTGTCATATATATGAGAATCCAAGTGGACACTGTGCATGTTAAAAAAAAAAGTTTTCTCTGTACCTTAAATATGAAAGCCCAAGGGCAAAGCCAGTAGGTCCCTCACACAGTCAAAGCTTCCAGTTTCAATGACGCTGTCAAAGAATGCGAAACCTGCTTTCTCAGATAAATACTATACTGACTTCTACAAGAACTATGTATATGCTAAGAAAGCCCCATGGTAAATTATTGAGGCTGGAACAAAATCTATTCACAGGGTTATAATTCTTCAGTTGCAAATGTTAAATCAAAGATCTATGTGATAAAACAACATCATCATGAAACACCTGTTAAACACAAGGAACGCCAAGTGGCTATCAGTACTGTAAGATTCCCCACCAAAGGGTGAAAACACACTAGCAGCTTACTTGTTTTGGCTTTCAGCACTACTGAGTTAGTGTCTTCAAATGCCAAGCACTGGGCTTGGGCTCTGGCTGTATCAAAACAATACTTGTGAAATGACCCAAAGTCCAAAGAGGAACTTTGGCAGCCAGACCCTGCTCTCAGCAGTGCATTCAAGGTACTCTTTGAAGGTCTACGCTCTCCAGAAAGTAACTCCTTCTCTGGAGCTGCCTGGCACCTGTAACAACTGAACTTTGTTGCACAGCAGTACTGCCCAGCTTCTCTGTGCGGACTGAAGCTTGGTGGGACCACACTGCCCACTCCCAGCGAAGCTGCGCGGCCTCCCACTGCCGTTACCTTGCTTGCTCCTCCTCCTTCGCAACACTAATATTTACAGATTACAAAGAACACTCAAAAGTTGAGGAAGATGATTCCTGGTGTGTCTCTTCCCTCAACCTATGTACGTATCCACCTACTTCTCCTACCACTTCTTATTTCCCAGTCCAGCAATTACATTCCTAGAGAAAGGATAGTTTTGAGCCCATAAAATCTAGTGCTGCTTTCTAGAAATAAGAACGATAAAACTAAATTACAGTAATACGGCAGTATCTGGAAGCCCCAATACCACATGCACAGCAATAAAAAGAAGGAAAAACGTTCTTTAAAATTGGGCTGTGGGAATCAGAGGAGGTCAGAAGGAAGATAGAGAGAACAGTATGGCGAAAACGCAAAGGAGGGTGAAAAGACGGAGAATGTGGAAGCTCTTCTATTTAAAAATTCCTTTTGTAAATCCAAAAGTTCTTTACTTATCTCTTGAAGGGTCAGCCAAGGAACTCCAATGAAATAAAATGATGCTATTAAAGGCATGTAGAGATGTGGCCACCATACAGCAGGCAAGAGAGAGTGCAGCGATGGAGGTAAAGCATGACGACAAAGCTATGCTTTCAAAGGTTTTTTACATAATGCTGTAAATTCAGTTTAACATTATTTGAAGATCAGCTGCTCAAGTCACCTTCACCTCTGACTGCTTCTAATACAAGTGGTGACATGGCAGTACACAGCCAGCCTACCAGTGGCATTTATAACAGAAGCATCCCGCACCAGTTCCCCTCCTTCATTTTGGTCTTCTGCTGTTGCAACTTAATTGCCCTCATCTGTAGCAATACACTATCGAGGCACAGCTATCAACTACAGCAGAATACCAAAGGCGTTCTATGGAAGAGGCATTGAGTGCCTGCGTTCAAATTTAAAATGCCAGCACACTACCGCAAAGGGACAATCATGTGAGTACCACCCCCAAAAAATTCTCCTCTTCCAAACAGTATTATTGATTTTGCTATCCTGTATTGTGGGAAGAAGGACTTTCATGATTTCCAAATATGTTGTAACTTTCAGCACTGCTTTCAATTACGGTAAACCCAAAATACAGCGAGCAATAGTTTTGACTGTGGACATAAAACCCCACAGCATCAACTAATAGATGCTGTATGCATTCATATGAGTGCCACCACCCCCTCAGCGCACACAGAAGGCTGCACAGTCCTTTCTGGGGAATGACAGAATCTTTTCCCCCAAGGTAATGCAGAAATACAGCAAAGTCTCTAAATTTGTCTTAATTAACAGAATCACACTAAGGCTAGAAACAGCACATCACATGAGGACAAGTGAAGCAAGGGTAGGGGGTAGGGGGGGATTTTCAAGTGCTCTAATTCAATTAGGAGGCAGTGACTGACACTTGGACAGGAGAGGTTAATTGGGGTCACCAAAACGCAGTAATTCCTTACCTAACCAGTCATTAAACTTCTTAACCTCTGAGGGCAGTCCCAGTTCGGTGAAATCGCCCGTGTGGAGAAGGATGTCCCCATAAGGCATCTGGATGCCATCTGTTCTGGAGTGTGTGTCTGAGACGCAGACAAATCGCGTGTGGCCCGCTGGTTTTGGAGTGTCATATGGGATAGGGTCGACCCTAAAGCAGACACATAAAGATCTCGTAACAGTTACAAGGTTAAAGCCCTCACATCTATTATTTCAGATATCAACACAGATCTATCTCTACATAAGCGTGCATGCACACACATACACATCCATTTACACACACCATGCTGAAAGAAATTACTCTGTAATGCAACACTGCCAAAAATCCAGCAGGGACCACAGTGCTTCTAAATACTTACCTGGTAAGGAATGAAGATTAAAAAATACACAAGATATGGCCAATTTCTGACACTGAAGTTAATTTAAACGTTGGGAAAAAATGGATTTGAGAGATTTTGAATTCACATTTTTTTTCCATCATCTGCCTTATACATGAACATTAAATAACAGGTCTTGCAGGTGGGCCAGCAACAGGCTCTCACTTGAGCTGAGCAGCTTAGCATGTGATTTTGTTCAAGGCCACAGGCACCCCTACAGATTCCAGCAGGAA